GCTTAAGACCGTCGCGGACAGGTCGCTGGTTGTCTGAACATAATATGGACAGGAACATTTCACGTCAAGATTGATAAAACTTATATACTTTAAAGTTATAATAGCAAAATATCAGAGGCATTCTCTATCTTTTAACAAACAAACGAATTATTTGCACTATTTTGTACATGGCGCACGGGAGTTCAATCTGACTTATAAAATTTCGTATAAATTCATGTACGAAATCTTGGATTATTTTGCAAAACACTGTACATAAGAACGCAAGATTTTTGCATGCACAGCGGTATTGAACAAAGTCCAACGACTTCATTTAATCGTTCAGAACACGTCATTTTTTTATGTTGAAGGTCGTTCGGCATATCCTTAACAGAGCCCAGTACATAAGCGAAGGCATTTCCCGAAAACCGCGTCGCGATGCGCCAATCGGTTCGCTGTGAAAGGCATCATTTCTGTAAAGACTGCGCATCTAGTTGAAGGACCCTTCCTGAGGCATCTCCTCTCAGCCGTCACCGTAGCTCAGTTGGAAAGAGCGTCAGTCAAAAGAACAGAAACCCGTAGGGTAAGGGATCGAATACCGCTTGTTTCCCTTTTTTCGTGACCGTTGGGTAGGCTCGGGCATCCCCGAAAACAGTCCGAAGGTGCCTCCGGGCATACCCAGAAACTTTCGGTTTTTGTCACTTCTGGGGTGTGTTTCAGGGCTGCCCGCTAGGTACTTCGGACTAACCCGAAAAGTGCCCGCCCGTCCGGGCTGTTCCGGGGGCTGATCATTTTTAAACGGGGTATGCCGCGAACAAGCCTGCGGTCAGCACTTTGGGACATCTGTGCCCCCCTTCCTTGCGATTTCGGAAGCAGTCGTGGTTATGCCTTGTCTCCGATGCGCGCGGCCTGTGAATCCCTAGAAATGAGAAGATGCCGCAAAATACTAGAACTGCAAAGAATTTGAAAATATTTTTGTACACCTTGCCTTTGTGTGACCAAATTTGAAGATCTAGCGGCTTTGAGGAAGAAGATCTAAATTTCGATTCTTTAACTTCGGATTAACCTAAAAGTTAAGCTCGGTTGTGGTAAACTTCAATGATGTCAGTAAACTTCAAGATAACGGCTGTACGTCAACAAAAAGCCGGTCGAAGTGCCACCCCTGAGCAGTATAAAATTTCCCGGAGCCTACGAGGCAGCGTGTAAGCAGGGGAGGCTTTGCGAACATTTTTGCGTGGTATCGGCAGCGGATGTGCAAACGATCGGCAGCAAACCGTTCCGAACAGCGGGCGCTTCCCGAACGCGTCCCGCAGGCGGTGGCCGCCGCCTTTCCGCCGGCCGAGATTTAGGGGCCAATCGTGTAATGCGTCGAGGGCCCAAATAGTGGCGGCCCCGCCCCGCCCC